TGTTTTTTTTTTTGAAAATTCGATTTTCTGCCACGCCCTCTTTTTCTTAATTCTGGGCTATAAACCCGCAAAAGCTCTAGATTATTCGAAAAAAATTTTTTAGCCCTTTCCCCTACTCTCCCAACGGAAATCTTGGGTACGCACGAATGCTTGGCAGGGACTTGAGATATTTAGCCCTGCGATATCAGGTAGCAAGTTCTGATAAATTAACAAAGGTAAAGTTGAACACAAGTTTTTTATGTTTCTAGTTGGGCTGTGGATGGTGGAACCTGGTTTATTGTTCTAAATTAAATTGATATGACATGCAGCCTTTCTTCTTGAGCAAGAGCAATAGTCTGCTGTTTTTGGTAAATCAAGAGCAGGTTCTTTTGATCGAGCGTGTTTATTAGAACTGTCTTCCAGGTAGAAGTTCTCAAAATTAGAATACAAAAGGAGAAAAATGTTTATTCAGAGAAATTTATTATCTGTGCACTAGCATGCCTTTCCAATTTCAGTCGTCTGCCGTCCATATATCCGCCTTAGTTTCACCACTTGGGGTAGGATCCGAGGGTACCTACAAAAAACAACGATTATAACGAGCAAAGCCAAGCGGAACAAAAATTGACCTCTTCTGCTGCTTTAGCGCGTTTCACCGCCTCCTTCTGCATTGAATCCAGTTTTTGGGTCGTAACTGTCTTCAGGGGCAATAGTTTTGGTTTACAGAATATCGGCGTTAGTGCTTCCTCTTTGAAAAGCATAGCATCGGCAGCTGTGAGCGACTCTCGCAAACCCGACATTTTCGCACTGCAACCACAAAATTTAAATCAGGCACATACAAATAAGATTGGAACCGTGATTAGTTATCAAAGTTGTTGGTTTGCGAAAAGCCGGTGTTTCCAACCAAGCGATAGAACCAAGGAAAAGAAAGCGGAAAAGCTTGGAAAGCGCTTAGCATTCTATGTGATGGCGACCGTTGCTATAGCAACGCGTCATGTTTTCGTGAGAGCCCAGAGGAGTCCACTAAAGCTTTGAAAATTATTTCCTCAAAGTCAAAAAAGAAGTCCTTGATTAGCGATTTTGCAAACAAACATTGTTGTTTATTTTCAGAGCTTCATGTTGACGATATCAAATGTTTCTCTGCGAAAGGAAGACACTAACGGACGTAAGCTCAATATATTCATTAGTAATTCATTAGTAATTATCTCAAAGCACTTCGCTTCCAAAATACACATTCACCTGTCGAAAGCTTTTGAATGATAGCCGCTTTCATAGAGACCGATAAAAATAAAAATATAGCTCTATTAAATGTCGCAACATGCTGTTACAGTGACTGCATTAGGTGGGAAATTAATAGGAAAAGTTACTCGATAAGAACTCAACATACCAGCGGATTTTTTTTCAAGTTTTTTTTTTGCATTATCCTCATTGAAAATTAAAGACGAGAGCCTGACGACGTGTTGAGCGATTAGTTCTCCGCAGATTTTGAATAATAAGTCTTGATATGGGTCGATATAGCAAGCAAAGAGTTGCCGTAGTTCTAAACGTGCTAATATTTTTTCCGCTATTTTCGTGCTCAAAGCAATATAAAATGTTTGCTCAGATTTGTGAAAGCTTGAAAAACTACAATGTTCCCAAGAGGTTATCATGCAGCTTCAAAACGGTCACAGGGTACGCGATGGGATCTTCAGCGGCTTGAAGATGTTTTGAAGTGGCACAAGGGATATTGTGCCAGAGATAGTTTGCATAATCAGCGAAAGGTTTCTGCATATGCTAACTCTCAGCGCATAAAGGCGATGATATTACTTGAGTAAGTTACCATAAATTAGTCTGAGTCGTTCTTCATAATTTGGAAAAGCTCTGCTACATGTATTCCGGGTTACTCGAGAAATGATCACTCTTGTAAAAACACGTTGAACTTTCTCGACCTCGAAATCAACTTTTGAGATGTCGGACTCAGTTGTCGGATTCAGAGTTCAGAATTGCCCGCTACTTTTATCGATTTTATCGATTTTTTTGCAAAGTTTGAGCTAAGGGATTGGAGTTGGCACATGGGTAATCGAGCATGCTGATTACGAATACAATATTAGCTTTAAAATTATCCGTTACTTTGGTCAATTTTATCGATTTCTTGCAAAGTTGGAGCTAGGGGCTGGGAGTTGGGACAGAGGGGTAAGTGAGCATGCTGATTAATGACACAGCGGCAACAGGGAATCGGCATGTAGAAGTGGGCACAGGGATAGGGATGGGACCTTTATCATAATCTTTTGACAGAGCCGAGAGAAGCCGGGTACGCCAGCTAGTTTACTACAAGGAGTGAGTTTTTCCGAAAGAGTTAACTTAGTTGCAAATTACCTTTAATAGGAAAAAAGTCACATATCGCACGGGTTTTAAGAAGAGTTGTAGTATACTTGGTCTCCAACGAGCGCTTATGACCGCTTCAAACATGAAACAACAACCTTGAAATTCATAATAATGACTTAGAAGATGGCTGTTGTAGTAATCTAAAACTTTTGCTTCTATCTGGACGCTGCTGCCAGCCAAAACTTATTTTGTACCCAAGTGAAATGTGAGAGCTTAGAGGAGAGGACGCATAAACTGAAATAACAGAAGACAGAAGGCGATCCCGCCGAAACGTTGGCCGTGAATAAAGTGCGGTTAATATCTTGGTCGACGCTCAACAAGCTCAAACGTTTAACAGAAGACAGTGTGTATTGACTAATCGATCACACGTTGAAAATTTAGAACGGTAATCGGCGGTCTGATTAAATAATCGCTTCTTAAAAGTGGCATTGATAGTGTAGTTCCGGCGCTGAGACAAAAGTCGTACAAATAAACCTGTTCAGTGCATAATCAGGGTCTGATTGTGAGCTGATGATGGTTTCAACATCAAAAAATAGGCTAATAGCAGTAATATCAAACTTCCTCGCTTCAAGGTCTTTCACAATTCAAAAAATATGAGATTGTAGGCACCTTTCTTTATCCACTAAAGGTCATGCATAAGCATGACCTGCTGTGATAAGTATCTGTGTAGTCTATATGCTTGTTATGTTACTTCGCGCCCCCTGTAATTATTATAGCATTTTCTGCTGCTCCTATGCGGACATGTCGTTTGACTCAATAACTCTGTTGGGCTAGTGACTGTGCGCACTAACAGATAATCTCCGAAGACCACAGCTACTACGGCAACGTTAAAGCAAATGTCTGACAAAGATATCATTCTGTATACTAACTTTAACATACTTCAATTTGCAATATTGAACAAATCACTGATTAATGATCATTTGTAATTACTGTAAATTACAATAGGGACTCCAGTATTTAAGCTCTGCTGCATGACGAAGGCGCAATGGCGATATTAGTTGAGCGGGCGCGAACACGACGCGCGCATATCCTCACCGTTGTTGATCCCTCACCTCATGCGCTCTGCGGCTAATAAAGCCGCGTTCGCGCCCGAAGATATTGCGCCTTCGTCATGCAGCAGCCTAGAGTCGTTGTGAATTAACAAAGTTCAAAAAATTTCCGGAAGGATCGCAAAACTTATGTAGAGATTTCACGCAGGCTACTTCCACTAGTTGGGTTTGTGCAATTTTTTGGACTTTTTAGAGTATATTTCTTGAGCAGTAAGAAATCAGACGTTTTATGGTTACGTCGCATGACATTTGAACGAAGTCTTATGATGAAGTACAAATTATATATGTAGTTGCTCTAAACCTAGTATAAGAGTTTTTAGAACGAATTTCTTTCTGGGGTAAAGTATTGTTTCAGAGTCTTACAACCTTTACAGATTCTTACAGTCTAATAATGATGAGTAAATTAATTATTCGCTTTGTGATATAAATCTAAGTTGAAGGCAGCTCTGCAGAGCTCCTAATCCATTGGTGGAGAGAGATCAAAAGGCAAGAATCAATTAGAAATAAAACGGTAGGAACGTTTTTGAGGCACCTGGTGCTATAGATATATAATTCGATTTTCTTTGTGGCTGGACATTCAGTGCAGTGCTTACAGTGTGTTTACTACAGGAACCGCGTGAAAGCGATAAAAATATGATCGCAAATGTGAGCTCTGCCTCTGGTAAACGCCGCCAATAAGCTGTTTTCTCGACTTCTCAATGTCATTTCCTTTCATGGTATTGCGGAGTGGTGATATAATAACATTACAAGTGTTAGTCAGAAGTAAGCATTTGCCGTCATTTGGTATTAATCTAGTAAGCAGAAAGAATCTTACATCAGTGATTCTGAGCGAATAGCATCATCTAAACTCAGGAGATGGTAGAATATTGCCTTCAATGACATTCAAATTGCCGAGCTTGATCAAAAGCAATGGTTTTGAGAAAGGTTGCTGATCAGAAGGTATAAAAATGCGATGTATAAATATGCTGAGAACTGTAGTTAATCATTAGCAAAATTTGTTCCTCTGTTTTGTTTCGATCCGTTTTTTTTACTCATAGGCAAATAACTTAAGCTCACAATTTGTAAACGCAAAAATTTCAAATTTGTCGAAGCTCCGCTTATGAACTTCAACAAAATCACATTGCTTTCGTGAGAATGGTGCATAAATGTCCTGGAGCTCTGTTGGATTCAGTGACTGTACCCTAACTCACAAGTACAAGGCGTACCTAATTTCCCAAACGCCCAGCCGCTTTGCTGTGTTTTACAAAATGTTCCTCATGCCGCACGATACTGTAAGGGGATACGTAACAATGTATAGGCTGCTTCAGTCGCAAAATCCCTCAGTGCTTTCGGTCTAAGCGATTTCAGGAAAAAAACCTGCAAAATCCAAAAAATATTGCTTTGATACCCCCTTGGGCGTCATTGCAAAAGATGCCTAGATGCTTACGTGCTTTCCTCCTCTCCAACTGTAACCGATATAAATGCACATTCTGATTAACGCTTTGATAAGTGGTTCCTTCGGGTGTTGTTTGCAGCATTTACAAATTTTCGTTTTTTTGAGACCTTGATTAAAGAATACTCTGTGCCAATGATTAAATCTTCAAGATCTACTCAGAGCTGCCAACTTACAAGATGTTACTTGAGCTCCTAGAAGTTACGCTTGTAATCTCTTCCGCATTTGGACAAGGTGGGTAGCTATTAACAACTTACAGCCAAATTTTGTCGAAAGACATCTAGCTAATTTTTTAAGGTAATCCACAGATGGCGAATGATGTACCCCGTGATCCTTACGATCTGGGAATATATGGCAGCGTTAGAATGCCTGACGGACACGGATCAGGAAACAGAATGCGTGAAGGTGGAATGGAAATGTCTGGAAATGGAAACGGAATGCCACATGATGGAGTTAGAATGCCATATGATGGAATAAGAATGCCCAACTATGAAATGGGAATACCTTAATTTAGGATACCCAATGATGGAATGAAAATGCCATATAACGGAGGAATGCCTGGTGGTAAAATGGGAGTGCCTAATGATGGGATGGGAAGGCCTGAATTAAAAATGGAACCGCCCATTTTTCAAGGATTTAGAATACCTGGAGGTGGATTGCCGCAGGATTTTTGGAAGGGAAAAAGAATGCAAGGTAGATGGCCGTTCAAATCAATGATAGGAAGACAGGACCTTTTTAAGATGCGCCCGATGCGAGGTGATTTTAACTCAGAAAGTAACTGAAGAATGACCCAACGATGATTTTGAATTTGCAGTTTACTGGTAACAGTTTCTCCACCACTTGGAGAAATTTCGGACAAATTTTCAACATACGTCTGAATAAAGGTTTTGCATTACTCAACATACGTCTGAATAAAGGTTTTGCATTACTAAAAAAGTGTAATATCTCATCAGATTAGCGCTAATACCTCTTTGATTTATACAGGGTGTCCCAAAAAACGTGCGCACTGTTTATTGGTTAATAACTAGCCTGCTTCGATGACTTTCGCCGACCTTTAGGTACCCTTCTTTAGAGCTGGCTTCAGCTTAGATTGACAATATGAAGCGAAACTCCGATATCTCTTTGCTACTTTCATGCCGTAGGAATACGGTATGTTTCAGCATACAACGCCTTTGTGAAATAGGCCGTTTAACGCAAAAATTCCAAAAAAAAAACTGCAAAATTGTGTAGCAAGGTTTCAAGCATGCTGATTTCATAACGCAAAATTTACAAGATTTCTGGGCTTTTTTGGAGGTGTAAACACGTTTTTGAAAAACACTGAAAAAGCAGTTGTAACTGTTTGCTTGAAATAATTTATGAAGGAAGCATGACTGTGGTATGCGAATACCTCTAAAACCAGCGACTCTGATTAGCTTAGTATGGAAGTTTTTGGGTTGTTTTCTTTCTGAAGTAAAATGTACTCTCAAAGGTTCGAAACTCTATCCAAAGTTCCTGGCCGGTAGTAATCCCCCCGACCTGGCGGCAGGTCTCGTCGGCAGGTTGCTGGCACCTTTCCGCGAGGTGGCCAGAAACTAAGAACCGAAATTTAGGCCGTCCCAGGCCTTTTTTCAAAAAATTTTCTCGATAAAGTTGCCGCCTCGACTCTGTAGAAAAGTTCATAAAAATCTGCGGCTCCAGAACTCCTCCTTTAGTAAAATATCTGGAATTCCAGGAGGAGCTGCCGGCAACTTCGCGAGGTCAGTTGCCGGCAACCTGCCGGCAAGTTGGCGGAATCCGCGAGATGGCAGCTGCCGGCAGGTCAGAGAGCACGGGAAATAGCGTGCTCTTTTGAGAGAGGGAGCTGCCGGCATCTCGACGTGCCCCTACCACGTCGAGGTGGTGGCACCTTTGCCGACGGCGTCTGCGAGTTTGCGAATTGCGGCGATATCACGCAATTTACGTCAGGCGAAAAAATCAAAACTTCTACTTTTCTTCAAAAAACTATCATTTTTCTCATTATACGAGTTTTTCTTTTTTAAAACGACGATTTTCTTACAGAGAAAAAATCTAGTAATGCCTTAGAATCATAAAGAACATCATCTTGTTTGGCAATCCCTTATAAATCTCGTTTGCACCGATTTCGCCCCTATCTCGCTCATATCAATCAGCTGTTCTTTCAGGTCAAAGTCTCTCACGCAATGTATCGATCCCTCCTACAGGCAGCCATTTACCAGCGCGTTCTTCCTATTGCTGGTGCAAGCGGCAATCGCTGACCGAATGGTCGAATGGTTAACTTGGTGGCACTTCAAGTTAACGCACATAGGTTCGATCGCGCGGGAGGTAGCAGTTTTGCGGCTGTCTGCGTCATCAAAATTTAGTGTGCGAAATGATGGCGTGCTAAGGTTACATAAGATTATTAAATCCTACAATCACTCCGCGAGCTGCCGGCGGAGTTGGCATCTTTCCGCGATGTGTGCCAACTTGCCGGCATCCATGATGCCACCAGGTAGGGTAGATTACTACCGGCCCCTACCTTAATGCTCCAGTAACTAAGAAAGATCAGAGATACCAGTCATATTGTAATTCTAAGCAGAAGCCATCTTCACAGAACAGTACCTTAAGGTCGATAAAAGACATCGAAGTAAGCGAGTCATTAACGATCAAATGTACACATTTTTTGGGATATCCTGTATGAACAGATAATCTTAATGAGTCAATCAAAAACTAGGCTAGGATAAGTTGTATCATCACATTCAAAGTGTTGGGGATTGCATTGCACGAAAAATAAATCGAGCCGTAAGCATATCAAAAGAATTTGAGCTAGTTTTTATTGAAGCCAGCGCAGTTAGTAGTGAAAATGCAAGAACAACATCCCAGAATACCAGGCCCCGGAAATCTCGTAGTAACTGTGACTTACTGCAAAATTTCCATTTCTGCATTGTTTTGCCCTCGCAAGACATAGCACTGCAAACTTTCGAGAGAAGGTTCTGCATGTAAGTGAAATTGAAAGAAAAGGAATTATGGACGTTTTGCAAAACTGGTATAAAATGTTACAAAAACGTTTGAAACGTCGGCTGGTAACCTAACTCACGTCATAAATGCAACGCGACCTTGAAATGACCGTTTTTGGCCTCGTGGAGTTCACGCGATCCTCCTACAAGGCAACTGTCACAAATTTTACATACCGATCAACTTGCATTTCTTTTGTGATAATTTGTCGCCGTTGGTCATGTCGGAAAACTATCACAACCGCGGTGCAAATTGACCGGCGTACAATGGACTCGTAGCAGTAGTCTTGTAAGAGAATTGCAAGACGATGAAATAGCATGAACTCTGCCTGAGGCCTCAATTCAACAGAGGTTTTGTATACAGCTCCAGTGTTCATAAGCTTCATCCTTCTCAAAACAGAACTATCAGGAAATTTGCATACCACTAAGCGAATTTGCTTTGTATGAGAAACATGGACTCATTTGACCAAACCGTTTTTAGAAAAATTCATTTCAGTTAAAATTACGACAGCGTTGCAGCATTTGTTTGCACGTGTTTCGAAAACCTCATAAGATATTTTGAGAACCTTAGAAAATGACAGAAAACGTTGATTATCAAAATGAGCTTTTATGTGGTTCATGACGTCACTTCTCGCTGCTACCATTTGTTTGGAGTTATTTCGTGCGTTAAATAGAAGAGACTAACCGTTTATAGAGGTGAATCAATGCGTTGGAGCATATATATAGTGTATTTGAAGCTTTTTGAAGCTTATTTCGACTTAGAATTTTTGCCTGAAAGCCTAGATGGTTAAAGACATATGAAGCAACCCAACTCTTTAGGGCTGAAGACGGCCACATTGTCGTAGAAGCGTCCAAAATTTTTGAGGAGAAGCTAGCATCAAGAAGCATTTAGATAGACGAGGTAACTGCTTATGTAACAGTGAGAGAAACAATGAAAAAGAACTCTGGCGCCGAGTTCCGATTATATAATTTACCAGATTTTAACGTTAAGATTAATAGTAGTGATTAAATAGACATTCTTCCTTCCTTTACATGAATAATTCAGACTTCAAATTGACAATGCTCACATATATGTCTATACTTCCTTTTTTATAACCTGTACTTTTCTCGCACTTCAACACATATTTCTAGTGTATATTTTATTCACTACCAAGCTCTATAGAGCGGCATGTAAATGGATGAACATCAAATACTTAGTATGAGCACCAAGACTACGTCGTAAACAGCCCATTCAAAATGGATTGCGCCTCACTTGCTTCCACACAGATCTTCAGAACGTCTCAATTCAAGAATCCGATTTGAGTGGTCACTGTCCATTCACTGAGGCTTGTTGCTTTGTATGCTCTGTGCTTCGGTACTTGGTACATTACGTCGCCTATGGTCAGCAAATGTCGACTATCAATGCCTCTTAATTAACGCATTATGTTTGCCCTGACAAGTGGACAAGAAAGTCTGGCAACAAATGCAAGTGAATGCTTCACGAAGTCAAGAGGATGAGGGTTCGGATTCCGGCATCGTCCTGGAGAGGTGTTCGCCCGATTGCGTCACCTAAATAGCAGCCATTTATCGAATGAAACAATGCTCATTAGGAAGTAACATAATTCCCCTAAATGACAGCTATTTGCGGGGGCAGCCAACATGAATGATAACTTGTGCCAGCCATATTCGTTGCGTAGATCAGATATATTTCGAATTTTACAATCACACTATGACGACATTTAAGAATTTGGAAAAAACGCTAAGAGTTTGGTATGCCCTAATTTTTACGGTTCGACACCAATCCATTGAAGAACGCTTCGCTTTGAAAAATACCATTTTATGCGCGGCATATTGACTACCGCAGGAGTACAGTATGCCTTCCAGCTATCGTTCATCTTGGCATACACTCGCTATTTGAGTAAAAAACGTAGAGTTTATAAGGTTGAGACCAGACTTAGCCTGTAAATCTGGCGATTCCGCTTAGGAGTCAGTCTGCATATGAAGTAGTAAACCTATAAAAATCCGTTTTCATACGCACTGATCTCCTCCTTAAGAGGTATGTCAGTGTAGCTACTTTCATATATCATTCATTTTCCCCCTTTCCAAGGCTGCCATACTTCATTTCCAGAAAGCGAAAAGAAGTATGGCTAGCTTTTTAATCATCCTTTGATTATGCGCAGGAATGTTTCCCCGTCAGTAAGAGACTAACATTGTCTTTCGGATCTCATCTAAGCATTCGCAAATTGCTGGAACATTCTTTAGGCACTATGTATCATGGCATACGGCCTTGACTTAGTTATTTTTGGGATACGTAAAACAAGGATTTGTAAAAGGTGTGAAGGGTGCACTGTAAGCAATCTGGACTCTCTCATTTTGAAAGTAAGCCATTGGTTAACTACTAAACAGATGAAGTTGAGCAATATGGTTCAAAGTTCCATCCCTTCTCCACCGCCATAGGAGACGCCCGCTCAAAATAACTCAGCGTTTGGTTCAACTATGTGATATGTTTAAAAGAAAGATTGATGGGGTATTTCCAGTAGAGGTTAGTAGAGGTATTTCCACAAACTGATTTGCGTCGAATGTAGAGCTTTTTTCAGGAATTTTGTAATCATGTTTTTAATGCAAAATCACCCATTCCAAAGTTTATGGACAGCTACCGTATTTTGACTGATTAGTCTAAATAACATGCAGCAGTCCTTATCTCGTTCTCGTTTCCGATAGTCCTTGAAAGCTTTCACATATGCTTTAATATATAACGAAGATTGTACATTATCGTCTATCACCTTGATAGTCAGCAATTTGCTTGCAATCGCTCG